AATAGCGCGGCCGCCCTCCCCCCGGGTCGTTTCGCGTGTGCGCAGCTCACTCGTTCTCGCGCGACTCGGCGGCGGATCCGCGATTGCACGTGGTGTGCGTTCTCCGGCGCGCCCGCGCTGAGCGTGTGGGCCCGCCGCCCGGTGACCCCAACGAAATACGTGCAGCGTACGTGCGCGCATTTCGTGTTATTGTTATTTTTAAATCGGCGGCGTCGAACCGTACGCACAATTTCCGCATCTCTCTCTCCGCGCACAGCACCACCGGGTGTCGGTCGAACACTCCGCAGGATTCATTATTATTATTTTTACTGTATTATATTTACACGGAAAGAAGGGGTTCCGCGGTGATGTTGGCGGGTACCCGTTTCACTTTCTCCGTCCCGTTCACGGTCTCCGCGGGCGGATAGATTTATTTATTCGTGTACGTGTAGTTGAAAAACGGTCGGGGGCACGAGACGAAATGTTCGTCTACGTGTACCGTCATGATACCATATCGTAATTGTAGCGTTTTATCTCCTCTACTGCGCGTCGTTGTTTTTCCGACACCTGCAGGTGGAGTGTTGTTGATACCGATTTCGGAACTTCTGTTTTTGTTTTTGGTAGATGATATTGTTATCCTTTCTAAACGGCGCAAATTTTTTCAATTCAAAGACAAATTTAATAGGAACAATTCACAAGATTATTTAATCTTATTCAAATCTTTTTTCTTCATTTAAATTTGAAATTATGGTAATAAAAATATTAACTTAAAGTAGTTACTAAACCCAAGTAATATAATATCACCCACGGTCAGTGGTGTAAACAGAAAATATTTTCGGGAGGGGCTACTATGGACAGAGTTAAATAACCACTGCTATCTAAGAATTACTAACAAGACACAGTAGGTACTTATCTACATTTCATTTACAGGATGTCCCAAAACAATTTGACGTTGGACGCAAATTCTAAATAAGCATAAAGCACCATTAAATTATAATAAACATTTAAAATTATTTTTAAGTTTTTTAAAACATTTCGGGGAGGCTATAGCCTACTAGGCATCCCCTTTATATACGCCACTGCCCATGGTTACCCAATGAACAAAGAGGAACCTCCAATGTGTCAAACATATAGAGTATAAATGAGTATCAAATACATACAAACTGAATTCCTAAATTACGAGTGAAACAGGAAAAAAGCCAACCTCACTGAACATATTTCGATATTATTCAACGTCTGTTAATAATTCACAAAACAATAATCGAATTTATCTTATCCTCAAAATTATTAAATAACATAAAAAAAAAATAAATAAAAAAAAATATATAATCTGTTACCTTATAATTTAATTAATATAATTTAAAAACAAAAAGTTAGCTTAGGGGCCAATCGAGGCATAAATGGAAGATAGGGTGAAGACAGATATTACTAGAATATCACAAGAGACAAGAACTGAAGACAGCGAAGACAGAGTCAAATGGAGAGGAGTGGTTGTGGCAGCGAAGATCCTATAAGGACTGTAAAAGCGAAAAATACAAAAATTTGAAAATAATTTGTAGATCTTAGCCGATGCTGCCGAGGATTATTTTAAATTTAAACAAAAACCCCAAGTAATTTACTTTATTTTTGACTCGATCAGTTCTAATTATTGTTTATATACTTGTTACTCAATACTTATAGGTATATTTGTGCTTTGTGTTTTAGAAAAGTGAAAAAGAATAAAACTTATTTGATAATTTCAAACCTTCTTTTTAGTTTAAAAATATTTAATACTGATAAAATTACCTGATTTTAAAAATTTTTTTTTTTATTCTTCTAGTCAAATAAACATCTCTTAAAATTCTAAAATGCACATGCGTAGTGGATAATGGTCATATGGCATCAAAACAAATTATAATAAAAAAGTGATAACATTTTGAATTTTTGCTTTTATCAATTAGTTTGTTTACGAAAACTTCATTGTTAACAATGTACTATGTACATACGTGAACAAGGACAGTAAATCAAGCTCACTAACTGTATATTACTGTATACGCACGCGAAAGTTATTTAAAATGGAACATTAAATTGTTAGATAAGTTAGCCCCCTTGCATATTCTTAATTCGAGTACTAATGTCAACTCTGATAATAAACATCGTTACATATTTGTAATCACAGAACAAACTTTTTTATAAAAAATATTAATTTTATTAATTTACTGTATTTGTTATTGATTTAAGTTAATGACTATTAATAACTGCACATTATTAAAATAAAATAGTTAATAAATCAAATATTTATTTTACTAATTAAAGCGTCTGTTTCTTTACCGTAATTTACCAAGTATGTTTTTGTTATAACCTTGTTTACAAACTACTGCATGCGAGTGCCGAGAATGAATGACCTATGCCTTCCTCCGAGATGGTCCCAAGATCCACTTACCTAACTAGTTATAAAATAAATGGTCAACATCATGTTATTATAAAGATAAAATTTGCATTTCAATACGTTATGTTAATATTAATATATTTTGTCATAATATATTTATAATAGCAATAAGAATAATAATAAAATATAATCACGTAGATGACGTACTTAATTTAGTTTATTCGATTATAAGATATAAAATTACGTTTTCTTTAGAATTTAAAACTATTTATAAATATATTAGCGAAGTAAAAATGAAACAGTTAAAATATCTGGTAAACTCAATAAGAGTTTAGTTATAAATTGTTCTAGGAAACCTTTTAACTGACGATTTTTTATTTTTTGATATAATATAATAGATCACGGAGAGACAGTTTTTTGACGAATAATTATGGATAAAAGGGTAGTATAATGTACTTGCCTAGAATTCAAACACTCGTATAATTGTAACAAAAATAAATAAATAAATAAATAAATGAATAAATATATTTATGAAGTTAAATTTTACTTTTTTAATGAAAAAAATTGGAAGTAATAGTTTGATGGCAAAATACCTATAAATCTACAAAATAAATTCTGTATATGCATATTAATTATAACTCTTAATATATTACAAATTGTTGTTGATAAAAATATATACAATAAATAAAATACTACGTAATTTATTTAAAAATGGATATTGATTTATTATTATGGTTATTATTATTTTTAAGTAATAATAAGGATGTAAAAATTAATTTTAATTCCATCAACATTCACTATTAAATCGATTGGCATTGCATATTACGTTCGTCGTTCAGGTATCTCCAGGCTATATTTAAGTTCTATACATATTCAGCAGCTTTTTTATTCATCAACCGCAATATAGTCCAAAAAACCGTTATTGCAACAAGCAAAATTGGATCACCTGGTAGAATAAGTAATAACTGTGAAATCATTGAATCAATTTGTTTTCGAAACATTTTTTTCTAAACTAGGTTTACTCGACCGTTGAAAGTTAATGCATTTCACAAAACAAGGTTAAGTTACTTCCTTATGCATAAATATTAAATTTAATTATTTTATCGACCACTAATCGGTATCATATTTAATCCAGTGTTACACCATTCATAGTGAACAATTTTTAAATTAATAATATATAAAAATCATACCAATTCAATTTTTATACATTTCACTACTCATCAGTAATTGCTAAACAATAATTAGTTCACATTTTACAATTTAATTGTTGTTCAGCTATATAATAATATGCAATTTACAATAAATTGGGTATTTAAAACGGAATAGTTGTTTTACGATAACGACATACATAAAATATACGTACGTTATTTTATTATTATTTTCACTGTTAAAGAATAATAAAATTTATCATTTATTTAATGTATCGGCCTTGAACTTCAAAACGTAAACATGGTTTTGTGTATAAAAATAGAAACACGATTCGTGTCGATGTTTGTTGAAATAGAAATTCTAAAAACGATGAATGTATTTTAAAATCGATTAGACGTGTTGCAATTTTATTGGAGCCGAAAAACAATTTGTTTATCAGTAGTGCGAAATCGAAACGTTGGTCGGAAAAGATACCTCCTGAACACGGTTTAAATCACGAACACCACAACAATGATCGACCCGGGTTCCAGTTAGAAAATCATACCATTGGTGGAACAGATAACATGCGGCGGTATTGTGCTGACCGAGAGGTGTCCGATGACTAAGTCGAACCGTACTAAACTATGATCGTTATATTGTTTCCGTCCTGGGACGGAGGAGATAAAAAACCCGGAGTGCTTTACACTTCTCGGCGGCGGTTGTCATCGACGCAAAAGACGATCGTGTAAACAGAAAACATGTTACGCGTGTCATTTTTTTTTTCTGTCTCTATTCCACGCATCGTTTTAGGGCACCACTCCAGTTTGAATATTCAAACGTAACATCAGCAGTGCGGCGCGAGTACGCGGCGATGACGGGAGAAAGAGAACGCACGACTCGCGAGAGCGAGACGAGAACACAAACACGTACACACGGTAAACCGTAAAAAAAAAAAAAAAACAGGATACTCGAACGTACGTACACATGCGCGCTCCGATGTGCGTAAAACACGCACGCACTCGCACACGCGTTTACGCATAGGACTTGTACTGTAGAGTAGGAGTGCACCACCGTACACGTTCGGCCTGGAGAGAGATAACGTACGGCGGTGAATACAGTGCGCACGACGTGTATGTAAAATAAAAGTGCGTACAAATATAGTACTCGGACGACGACGAGCCATTACCGAAATATATTACGCGCGGACACGGCTGCGGTGGTGGTGGGGGAAAAAAGTGCGTGAGCGGCGTGTGTGTGCGTAAGGCCGCCGACGACGACGACGACCAACCCGTTTTTTTTTTTTTCGGGAGAGTGAGAAAGATAGAGAGAGAAAGAGAGAGAGAGAGAGAGAGTGAGAGAGAGATAGAGAGAGAGCGGGACAGATAGAGCGAGCGAGTGAGAGTGCGAACGATAATATGCGCGTCGGGAAGGGAGGGTGAGGCGGCGGAGAAGAAAAGAGCGCGAGAGAGTGCGTGCGGCGGCCGGCGTTGCGTGCGTTGCGCGGCGAGAGAGAGCGAACGGGAGAGAGTGCATGTGAGTGCGTATGCGATCGCGGCGGACGTATACTCGCGGCGCGCGCGCTCCTCGCCGAAAGAGAGTTGCATTTATTCGGGCGCACCCTGTCGCCGGCGTTACAACCACCGTACTGCACACGCACGTCGCTCGTACAACCAGCGCATACGTCACATTCACCGCCGACAGTCGAAAACACGACGACGACGACTTACTACGCGCACCGCCGGCCCCCGCCACGAACGTCATCTTTTTTTCTTTTTTTTTTTTTTTTTTTATCTGTACTTATTTAATCTATCGTTAAATACGTAAACACGTTCGAGTTGAAATACATTTTTAAATATATATTTATATATATTTATTTATTTTAAATTTTTTTTTTCTTCTCAAAACACCGTCTTTTATTTAATATATTATTTTTTATATTGCTCCGAGAATTGTTTTGAGATATTGTTTTGTCGTACGATTTAAAATTTGTTTTTCGCCAAAAACCGTTTTTCATCGCCGTCGTCACTTCTATTCACGTACACTACGAACCGCGCTCGCGCCCAATTTGTCGTCCTCGGATCGAGCTGGACGTGAGATTTGCAGTGGTCTTCCGGTTGACCAGGAAATGCATCTCGGTATGTATTCCAAATGAATATTATTAATACACTTTTTGTAACGCGGTTAACTGTTACGTATTTATATATCATGCGGGCTCAGCCACTTGACGGGGTTGGCGAAAGTGTGTACCCTTGCTAAAATATTAATTATGGAAATCACCGGATACCGTGGGTCGCGTTTATTCAAATATTCGCTTATGCAAATAAACCGGTTAACCCTAGTCCCCAATAATATACCCTATACGGGTCACGAAAAAATTCTCGCGTTCCCATGTCCTGTACGAGAACCGTTTTTTACTCGCAGATGGTTTGTTATTTTCACATTGTCTCTTTACATTAATATTCTCTTAAACCATCCGTAGTTTTAAGTTAACGGAAAACTTTTGAACGGTTATTATTAAGTTTATGAATCTTATGAATTCGTAAAAAATTGACTTGTTTTCGCGATGATCTCAAAACCCAGTATACTCGAAAATCTGTACTTTTCCTGATCATATGTTTTCATCGATTTAGATGACGGTAAATCGAGTACGACACTCGCTGGATGTACACAAACAAAGTTAAAATTAAAGTCACAACTTAAAGTTAGCTCCCGCGCTTTACGTTACACTACTTACTACACCTGTCGTCTGTGCGGCTACTGGCTTGCTTTTTTTAGTATTGTGTTTAAAATTAGTTTTTAAATTTCATTACAGATATAATATCTGTAAGTTACTAAAACTGCAATATTTGAGATATTGCACTTTTAGTAACTGCAAAATTCTGTATGTTGCGATAGGAAACTTTAAACATTAAATTACCAAAATATTGGAGTTGAACATTTGGTTCTGGTATGGTCGTATCGATGTGATACAGTCATAAAGAATAAATGTATTTTTTGCGTTATTAGCGATATTCACTAGAAAAGGTGTGTTCCCTACCCCTCCACGCCTAATTTTTGACTGCCTCGTTGATAGCCTCGGTTAACCGTGCGTACTTCCTATTTCCCACTGATGACGAATTATTTTTTACGTCATGTTTGTTGCTGCTTAACCGTTAATAAAAACAAATATAATAAAAGTATTTATCAAAATAATGCAAATCAAATTTTTAAAAATTTTACGATAAAATAATTACGCTTCTAGTCTCTCTAGGGACCCATCATGACCGGCTGTTTGTTTGATGATAAATTGGCAAATGACAAACTCTGAAAATGTTATAATTATTGGCTTATCCGGATAATTGTTTTTTTTTTGTCAATATTGGTCGTTCGACACTCGTAAGTGGTTCCTCCAGATAACGAAATGGCGATTATGAGTCTGGTGGATGTACTTAAAATTTTCGTATAATTCCATATTTTTTTTCACACTAATTCGATAACGCTTAAATATAATTTGTAAGTAAAAATTAACGTCAATATAATATAATAAAAAAGTTCCATTTTCCATCATTGTTTGTGTTTACTCCGTATGTCTGTAGCTATTAATAGGTAAAACTTGTCTCTTCATGGTTCGTTGCATAACTGCGATTTACGTGTTATTTTGGGATCTTGGCTTCTTTCGAAAATTAATTGATAGGTTTTTTGCTATTAAAAAAAAAAAAAAATTAATTCAAATTAATACAATTATTTTTCTATGAAGACTTGCTTTTATATTATATATTTAATAGTTGATGGCAATATATTATTCGATATTGAACGAATTTTATTTATTGCACATAATTTAAATACGAGTTGAGAATATCAATCGCCTTTCAAATTTCAAATTCCATTTAACACCTTGGGTGATGGTGTATCGTAAGATACATTTATACTATTATTTGTAGTTAAACCATGAATAATGTGGCATAATATATAATTTTGTTTGCAAAAAAAAAAAATGACTATAAAGTATTGTTTCTTCTTGTATTGATTATATAATAAATACATTTATGCTATTGAGGTTTGGTAATCAAAAACGTTTTTTTTGAATTCAGAGAGTATTTACACGTTCATAGTTTTGTCGTTTTTATGTTAATTTAAACCATCAACATGATCAAATTTTTCAAAAGCACCAATTTAAATAATCTTCGACCAAATTCAATAATAATGAAAAAAAAAATGTAAATAACTTAACTAAATAATAATATGCATAAGTGGTGTATTTATACTTAAGTATAATATTGTTAATATACTCAATACTATATTATACTATGCTGTGTCTGGAGTGTTAACAAGATATTATAGATATTGATTGTTTTGATTGTAGGTACCTAGGTATTACAAATTATTTTTATACTGAGTATATATTATAAAACTAATGTTAGTATCTAATAAATATAATTATGTATAAAATATGGATGTCGAATACTCGAAAGTTTAATTATTCTATAATAGTGGTTCTAACCAAGTGGTCTTCCGAGGGACCACGTCTTTATATCATTCCTGGTTGGTACCTACATACAAACAATACGCACGGATATTATTAAAATCTATGTAAAAATTAGTTCGAAATTATGTTTTTTTTGCTCATAAGCTCGAGAATCTGCTTACCATAAAAGTTAGAAAACCACTGTTCTCTAATATCGAAGTATAATTAAAAACTGTAATATTCAAGAACGCTAAAACAAATGTTAAACTCAAATTGAACTTTTGAACTTTCGTTTTCATGATTTGCTATCATGGTAGTCGGAAGATTTTTGTTTGTATTTTTGATATATTAAATTTGAGATTGATACTAAATATCAAATTTTGATAATTGCAAAAATGCTTTATGTACAAAAAGTGAACAAATAAACAGATAACAAATAACTTCAAAATATAACTGTTTGAAAATATTCATTTCCATACATCAAAACATGCTATACTTCTTAAACAATAAATTACTAATTAGGCAATTTCGAATTTGGAATGGTTTACCACAATGTACATAAAAGTGTAAAGGTTAAACAAATAAATAAAGAATGTATGATAATCGTATACCGTTAAATATTTTAATAGTTTACACAAATGATTTATTTGATTATGGCAAGGGTTTACTGTATTTCCAGACAACGAGTGAGCAGGTAAAAATGTAAAGACAACCACCCCCACTGCAATTCGCCAGACGCGCAGACACGGTGATTGTCGTGTTTCGCGATTTTTTTTTTACACACGCCCGAAGGCTACCTATTTGAAACGTGAAAAATAGTTGCCACTGGTTATAGGGTGGGTGGAGGGGTCCGACTTGTCTGGCAGACTATACCTAAAATACCGTGTCCCGTTCGAGGGTTGTTGTGTCTGGGGCCAATTCCGTATTCGCAATGCCGTTATTATACACAAAAAAAAAAAACATTTTATTACTACAATATAAGGGCGTATGTATACAGAGTGTTTAAATTATTATATCTAATGGATTTTTTTTAAATTCAAAACAAAATTCTAGCTGATATTCTATAACACATAAAATTAATGGTTGACTTTTCGCTGATGACTTAAAATTTTTTAAATTTGTATAGTATCGACACCTGTTAGTAATATATTAAAAATGTCTTATGTTATTTGATGATTCAATAGTTGTAATGTGAATACACTATAAACTATTGATCTACGGTTCTTAAAATTTTTTAACTTTGATTATTATTGTGAATAATATAATTAATATTTAAACATCGCTATGATACAGGTTAATAATTTAATATAATTTAATTTAATTTAAAAATAATGAATTACAAATTGCTTAGAATTCGAGTTGGAAATTTTATTTTTATGCGGGAGTAGGTGTTTGACTTTTGAATATTTTTCATAAAAAAAAATAAAATAATCAAAATTATGGCTTGTTCTTTGGATTTTTTAAGAACGCACTGTAGACAATTGGGGTTGTCATTGTACGGTTGGTAGACGAATGATGTTATGGTCTGTCGCTTATTCATTTATTGTCAAATAATGTTAACCAACACAGGTGTTTTTTCTTTTTTCTTTTATGTAACTATTATAATAAATTGTCTAAAATACATTTTTCTTATAATCGTATAATGTAAATAGATGAGGTTTTGTTAGATTTTTAAATTTATATAGGATTCTCCAAGTCTTGTTTTCGAGGAAAATCTCTAAATCTGTGAATAGATATTGTGGTAAAATTATAGTCGAGTACGTGTTATGCCTAGAGAGTTTAATTTTGAATTGTTTGCATATTAATAAATTTGTGTTTTCACGAAAGTAAATTTTGTATAAATGTTGTAAAAATTGTTGGGTTTTTTAAATGTAATCAAATTTAATTTTTAATGTTCAATTAACATATTTTGAATATGTTCCGAATTTATTATACAAACGAGTTTGTTATGGTTCGATTTATTAATATGCACTTATATTTTAGTGAAATATGTAGCTTCGATTGTACACAAAGAATAAAAAAAAAAAAATGATTCCAAAATTTGCAAATTATTTTGTAGTAAATCATCATTGAAACTATTTCATATGTTAATGTAATACTTATATTTGTTTAGGTTTTTAAAAATTCAGCCAGAAATTAAATTTTGTTGTTCAAAATGACTAATAATCAAATGAATACAATTTCTGGTCAGGACCAACAATACTGTTTGAGATGGAATAATCACCAGACAAATCTAACAAATGTATTTGTTCAACTATTTCAATCTGAAGAATTTACTGATACTACATTATTTTGTGAGGGTGGGCCACCAGTTAAATGTCATAAAATGGTGTTAGCTGCATGTTCTTCGTACTTTCAGTCAGTATTTGCTGAAGTACCTGGTAAACATTCTGCAGTTGTTTTGAAAGATGTTGGCCATGCTGAAATGAAAGCTATACTGGACTATATGTACAAAGGTGAAGTGAATATTGCGCATGACCAATTAGCTGCTCTACTCAAAGTCGCAGAGATGCTTAAAGTTAAAGGGCTTGTTCAAGATAATTCACACAAAACGGAAAGACCAATAACGCCTGCTGTTGAAGAAGATCGCAATATAATTAGTACTTCATCTCCAAATCATGTATCACCAGATGGTAATACGAGTACGACCAAAGATCTTGCCATTAATATTAACAACAACAATGAACAAAATGATTCACCTCCACACAGTACTGGTATAAACCACCAATCACCATTCTATAATAAGAATTATTATGGAAAATCTCCACCATTAACAACTGAACATAGTAGACCTGGAAGAAGTAATGTTCCGATGTGGCCAATACCTGCTTTACAGATGACATCAACACCTGTGACTAATGCTATGTTTGGAGGTAGTTATGATGCTATGATCGCAGGATATCCAGGAATGTCACCATTGCGCCGTAAAAAGCTATCTAGTATGTTGATGGGTCGAGACACACCAATATTAAGGACTGTTCTTGGTCAGGGGCAAGCTGATTCTTCACAGCAACTCCCTCCTATTATGTATGGTTCTGAAGCTATAGAACACCAAAGACCCCAGTCTAATGGATCTGAATATGGTAGTCAATTTTCAAAGGTAATTTATTTGTAAAACAAATTATAAGAATTTTAAATTAATCAATTAAATTTATTGCAGATCAAAGTAGAAGGGTCAGAACATAATTCTCCATATCCTCCAGATTTGTCCATGAATGATGATGAAGAAAATATGAGGGTAAATATTCATGGTTTTTATTGTAATTACTTAAATTTCTTTTATAAATTAAAGTTTCAGATACAAAATTAAAATAATTAATTAGAATACATTTATTTTTCAAATTGTTTTATAAATGATACTATATTTTTTTATTATAGTTTTGCTTATAGTTATTTTTAGATATAATGATAATATTAAGTTATTACAGTTAAGAGTATTTTGTTTTTGTTAGTTCCCCATAATATTAAATTTCACTACCTTGTAGTTAATATCACTGTCTAATTAAATATGTATATTTATAGGATAATATGAGTATAATAACAAATAAATTGGTTAATCATTATTTGAACTAGTATATTTACTAATAATTCCTCAGTAATAATAATTTGTGTTATAATCAAAATATTTACATTTTTTAAAGTTTAATTTATTTTTCAGATTGGAAAATTGAATAATTCATCTTCACCTCAATCAATGTATGGTGATTCAAAAGGTAAACATTTGAATAATTTATTTACCTATTAGTTTTGTTTCAGTATTTATTATGTTATTTTATTGAACAGGTGGTGTTGTAACTCCAGGGATTGCAACTTATGTTCCTTCTCATAAACCAGAATGGAAAAGATATAAACAATACACAAGACAAGATATTATGTCTGCAATAGACGCTGTGCGAACTGGCATGAGTGCCTTACAAGCTTCACGAAAATTTGGAGTTCCATCTCGTACCCTTTATGACAAAGTGAAGAAACTTGGAATAACTACAAGCCGTCCATTTCGCAGATCAGGAGTTAATAACGGAAACCTTGGATTTGGATATGGATTAGGGCCTGGTACTAGTAGTGTAATGTTTTCAAGTCAAATGTCTGGAGCTGAAGATGAATCTGGTCATTCTTCAGCTATGGAACATGCAACCGCTGGTTTCTTACACCACGCTCTTGGATTATCTGGAGTCTCTATAAAGTCTGATCATGAAACTTCTAACAATGGAAATTCACCTCATTCGGATAGAATGGATGATGGAGGTTCACCATGTAGTCCAGAACTAATAAAATATGCTGGACATCGGGAGGATATTAGATCGCCAACTCCAACAGAAAATGATGATCAAGCACAAGATTTATCTGTATCTCGTAAATCTGAGTCGTCACCAATGCAAACAACTCCTACATCTAGAGTTATTATGGGACCACTTAATCAAACTGTTAGCTGTCCCGTGTTAGCTGCTGGTAATGATGATAGGGACTGAATTTATTTTTATTGGATGGGCAGTATGTGCAATTCGAATTCAATAATTGAATTTTACTGAAACCCAAATGTTAGTTTCTAAGCTATTTGAAGACAACCAGCCCTTTTTAGTTTAAGTTATGTCATAAAATTAGCATTTACGGTAAAAGACATACCAGGGTTAGTTGGTGCGGAAAAAGTTGTACAGTTGAGAAACTTGTACTTCTTACTTTCTTTTAAAATTGAATTATTTTTTAAAAGTTGACACTATTTTATTTTATTTGATAATTTTCTTTTTTGAGTAAGTCGAATTTGCAAATATTGGGTATAACCTAGGTATAATTACGTAAAATTAATTTTTTTATGTGAATTCCAAGTCTGAAAAATTTAAATCAAAACATTGCTTCAGGTAGCTAATTAAATGGTTATATCTTGAAATATCTGATACCAGGTTACAGTTTATAAATGCCATTTAATCCCAAAAAACTGCTCAATTATCGTTATATAAGAGTTCCTTGTATCAAAATCTATTTAAAGTCGTAGATACCGAATGTAAATAACTCAATAATTACAAAGCTAATCCACTCAATTTTCACTTAATTGATTCCCTCCATTTATTATTATTTTTATTAATTTTCACTAAACAGATATCTCAAACCGCATAAGACTGCTACTTGTTAAAATATTATGTAGTTAAGTAGTAATAATAATATACATATATATATATTTTGTTTAGTTAATTTAAACCAAGGAGACTGTTTTTAATGTTTAATATTCTACACTGATATTTCTCAATAATGTACTAACTAATGTGTTCATGCAGTTCTATGTCATAATGTTACACAAACATTGTTAGAAGCTTTATTATACTCAATGCTCAGTGTGTCAGCAATGAAAATCATGTGTTCATTAGGTTTAGCAAACACTACTTTGGGGCCAATATTATAATTGTATAATCCAGTTACATTTCAAATAGTTAAATAATAAGACTGAGTAGCCTTAATTTTAAAAGAACTGATACACATTTGGACTGGTTTGATTTAAACATTCTCAGCTTTGTTCCTACTGAGGTTTATCAACTTATCAATAAATTGCAATAGTATATTAATTGAAATGTCTACAGGAACAAAGGTGTGAATTCAAGACTGAGTTGGTTTTTGTTAGAAGCATAAATATATAAAAATAACAATTTGAATAGAGTTTAATAATTATATAATTTTAATTTTTGATCATCTGTTATTGTAACATAATTATTTAAAATTAACATAAAACTAGATAATTCATTTTAGAATATACTTGTCTGGGTAGGATGCAATTTTAACAAATTGGATTTTGTTGAATTTCCTTTATTTAACTTTTATTTATTTTACACAAAATAGAGTAAATTTTTTAAGTTTAGTTAAAGTTAGAACATGTAAATTAAAACTACTAATTTGTATTTAATTACTATTGAATTTTATATTGATGAAATGCATATTCTAGAAAAAAATAATTTAAATGTATATCGTGTTAACGACCTTTTATTGTATATTTTATTTATATATTACTTTATAAGTATTGAAGACTTCTGTTTTATTTATTTTTATTTAATAATTGTTTTGTTTTTGTTCGAGTTTTTTTTAACTTTGGGCTTCATTAAGGGTATGTATTGTAATGATAATTTAAAGTTTAAATTTATATGACGTGTTGTTAAAATTATATTTACTATTTAATATTTATTTACTTTCTTTTTTTGCAAGAATTGTTCAATTATATTGGTTAAATTGAAAAATTTATGTTTTGCGTTTTTGTTTAATTTTATAGCTTATAGGATATTTACTATTAAGATTAACATAGTAAAATGTTAATTGAAAATTTTGTATTTAAATATTAAAAACTTAAACAAAAAATTATTTTATTTTTAATTATTGTAAATGGAATTTAACTGATACTTGCTTGAGCTTAATGCATTTTTATTTGTGGTTGATTTTAAGGATTAGAAATCTATTATTTAGGATATTATATTTTTCATTTGTACTATAAAACCAAATGCAATTTTAATGTTTTAAATAAGTTTTCTATGATAAGGTATGATTTTTGAATAATATGTTTAAATAGTTTAAAAAATTACTTTTATGCTATATGACTTTATATAATAACTTGTAACAATATTTTTATTTTGACTTAGAACTTGGTTATAATTTTTCATCTTTTTTTAATTACATTTTTTTAGGAAAATTGTTTATTAGGTATAGAAATAACATCTATATGTTATATATATATATATATATATATATATATATGTAGTATACATACACACACACATAATATATAATAATAATATTAATATTTTTATCTCATTTATTAGAAGTGCTTTTTTCTTATATTGTTTTGTTTACATCATAAAAAAAATTACTATCATGTATTGATTATTTATTTATTTTTATTACAAGACTGAATATTGTTCTAAGTTTGTCTAACAAAATTTATATAAATGCGTTTTCTTAATTTTAATTCTTATAAATTATACTAGGGCACAGGGGTTCTATGCTATATTATAATATGTTATACTTTTGGTAATAAGGTTTAGTTACATTTTAATAGTAAATTTTCATAGTTATATTTTATTTATTCAACTTGCAGTAAAAAGCAATTTTCAGAGTGTAGTGTGTGTTTTATACTATTATTTATGATTATAGATATTCATAATTAAATATATCTGTTCTGTTTTTCAATGGTTTATTACCTAAATATTTACAATATTAAACATAAAATATATTTAACCCTCAATCAGTATAAATATAGTACATACTTCATTGCTAATTAATTGTTTGTGTGTACTTATTATTTATATAGTTTGGTTTTTTACAATAAAAGTTATAAACAAAAGAGAAACATAGAGTTCAGTTGTTCTATCTCTATAAAACAGAAAAAAGAAATTAAAATAATGCAAAGAAGTTTCTTTCAGAGTTTTAAGATATATTCATATGCGTAACTAGGGTAAAAAATCTGAAAGGGCTAAAATATTTACAAGTCTTATGTTTAATTCAACAAAGTTCTACTCCCATAATTACATAGTAGTGATTAATTTAGAGTTTTTTTTTTTTTTTTTTACAGAGAAATGTGTCAAAAGCCCAAATCTATTTGAAAAGATAATAGTTTTTAGTAACCTCGTTACTAATTCAGTAAATAAATTGAATACTCACTTATAATAAATACATAATAAAGTGAAACAGCTCAAGAAGGATTTTTTTAAATTAAATTAACCACCTATAACCTATTAAAAATATTAATATTTTAAAGTAATGTAATATGTCTGTTCTTTTTTGAAAAATTATCAACAATAATCACAGTGTCAATTAAATAAGCAATATCTCTTTTTACACTTAAAATAGATAAATAACTAATTAGCATCTTTATATAGTTGAACTTATTAGAATAGTTGCTGCAAATTGTAATAGCTTATACAATTTTGGATGGATATGTTTTTCAACAATATTTTATAAATCATTAAAATCAAAATCACTTTTTGAGACTTTTAAACAATTATGTGCAACTACCATTTCAGATCAACTGTTAATTGAAATAATCACAAGATCATAATAGGAAAAGAAAGATTATGATAATTAATAATTAAAAATTTAATTACAAATAATTTACTGATCTAATAATTATTTCAGATAATAATTTAATTTTGTATAATACTATAATTTATTAAATAATGCTATATTTATCTATTATTATTATTAATTTTTAATGATTATTGAACTACCTACAATGAATTTTTATAGACCAAATTACAAAATGAATCAACTGAATTTTTCATTATGAACTTTCATCTGAAAACCTGCTTTTTAAATTATTAGTTACAGTATCCATGATGCACATATATGCTGGAGTTTTCCCAGTGACGGTGCTAGAGTTTGTGAGGCCCTGGGCAAAATAAATGTTGGGTCTTATGATTTATATTAATAAAATATTTTAAGTTCAGTTAAATCAGAACCGTGGGCCCTTAATTATAATTTAAGATGCGGGGCCCTGGGCAACTGCCCCAATTGCCCATCCCCTTGCGCCGTCCCTGAGTTTTCCAAAAGGTTTCAGCTAAAGTTTATTCTTCATCTCCTGTGGTAGTTGTAAGGGCATAATTATGGAGATTGTTTGGTTACTGTTGTTGCTATTTTGATCCTTTTTACCAAATAATTTTAGAAGTTGTACAATATTAATTTTGTTATGAAATCATAATATAGGTATAAAAACAAAAAAACCAACGCTTTGATGTATGCATTATTTTTTTTCACAAATTTAAAAATTCATCATAGAATCTTAAGTTTGTAAAAGTTTTTATTTCACCAACAATTATATTTTTAGATGTACCAAGAGTTACATATTTATTTTGTAAAGTATTACTCAAAACATTTATAATACTCAACACTTCTTTCAATATAATAATTACAACTACAAACTCACACTTTTGAATCGATTTTAAAATTCCTACTTAAAATCAACTTCATATTTAATACAAATCGATAGCTGTTCTTCTCTAAAATACTTTAACACATATAAAACAAAACTAGTAATGTATTCAACATTTTTAATATTTTATTAATTTAAATTTATATTCAATAAGATGTTATTCAATGTGTTATAATAATAATGTTACTAAATTCATATAAGTAGAAAATACTAGCTATGAGATATTTAATATTACCTTGCTTTATCCCACATTATGGTAAAAAATTAACTTTATCAATTTGGCTTAAGATTGTTTCCTTAACTTTATCAGCACACATTTTTATCAGCTCTTCTTGAACTTTCCAGCTACTTAAGTTAATTTTCTGTGGATAACATTTTTCAAAATCAGGATCATGTTTAAAGATCAGTTTACATAATTCTTTATAATGACCTAAATATAATTAATTTCTAATAAGAATTGAAACGAATAAAAAAAAATATTAGGTACATATAGATAAAAACTTTGATTATTAGAGTCAGTTAATTCATTGTTGCCTCTGAAGGAAATTCCTTTTTTTTCTAGATACAAAGCTATATCTATTAAATGTAGCAAATAATTGCGATATTTGATGATTTGTTCTTGAATAGATTAATTAATTATTAAAAATTGAAATCATATTATTTTTTTTATGAGCTGCATAACATTTAAATAAAAACTGCACATTATGTGCACAACTGCAAATTAGCGGAAGCTCTGGTACCTATCAATTATTTTGTTCTTTGTATCTTTATAATAGTACAATTATTTTATCTGCATTAGTAATAATAATATTGCATAAATTCAGCTTTATTTAGATTTATGTTGCTATATCTAATTGAATTTTGAAAATCTATGTTTAGAGACCGATGCATTTCCTTATTTTGATATAAACATTACCTTAAACTGGTGATATTTTTTATAGAAAACAGACTGCCATAATGTTGAGGATTGCTTGTCTCAATAATTTTATTTGGTCTACTCAGTATTTAAAAAAAAAAAATTAGCACTAATATTTATATATCTAATATTTATTTACACTGCTGTAATCCTTGCAATCAAAGTTTTTTTTTATGCTGTTAATATGAATTATTGTCAACTTCCATCTCACGAAACCACACCGAAATCTACACTATCTGCAGTGGCGGATCT